TGCATACATCATTGTAATATGATGACTTTCACTGTTTTTGAAAAGATACCTAGAAAGGGAATTGCTGGGTCAGGTGGGATTTCTATTTTTAGTATTTTGAGAAATTCTACACTGATTTCTGTAGTGGTTACACCAGCTTATATTCCTACCAACAAAGTAGAAGTGTTCTCTTCCCCACAGCCTTGCTAGCACTTGTTATTATTTGATTTCTTGTTTACATACTTTATGGAGTAAGGTGGAATTTCAGTTTTTCAGTTCAGAATTTCAATGCAGGCGATTTCATACACAGTTCTTGAATGGCCAGAGGTGTTGAACATTTTTTTCCACATCTTTATTGGCCATTTGTACTTCTAAGAAATGTCAATTCATTTTAATTGTCCATTTTTGATTAGATCTTTTATTTGGCAAGTGGGTCTGATTTTTTTGATTCTATGTATTATAGCTATTAGCCCTCTGTTTAAGAGGTAGTAACAACTTTTTTCCCATTCTGTAGGTCATCTTTTCACCATGTTACTTCCTTTGTTGTGCAGAAGCTTTTTAGTTTGATATGATCTAATTTGTTGATTGTTGGTACTATTTCTTGTGTTTTTGGGGTTCTGTTTAGAAAGTCCTTGCCTATGCCCATGTCTTCAAGAACTTTACCTTTTTTTTTTTTGAGACAGGGTTCAGGCAGGCCTTGAGTTTACTATATAGCCCAGGCTGGCCTTGAACTCGAAGTGATCCTCCTGCCTCAATCTCCTGAGTACTGGGATTACAGCATGAACTACTGTGCTTGGGAATAGTTTATCTACTTTCTCTCTCAGCAGATTGTTTTCACTTTTACATCTTGATCATTTTGGTTTTAGTTCAGTACATAGTGGTGAGGTGATCGAGATTAATATTTATATACATACCAGTTTTCTTAGCATCATTTATGAAAGAGATTATCTTTCCCCCAGAGAATGTTTTTGGCTCCTTTATCGAAGATCAGATAGCTGACCGTTCCTGGAGTGGTTTCTGTGTCTTCTTTTTTTGTCTGTTTTTGTGCCTGTACCATGCTGCAGTTTTGTAGTATAATTTGAAGTCTGGGATTGTGATGCTTCTTCCTGCTTTGGTTTTGTTGTCCAGGATTGCTTTTGCTAGTCTCATTCTCTTCTGGTTCTAGATGAACTTTAGGATTGTTTTCTTACATTCTGTGAGGAATGCTTTTGGTATTTTGATTGAGATTAAAATGAAAATGTGGCCATTCTCACTATTATTGGTCCTCCCTGTACAGGAACAGGGCATGACTGTTTTCTGATTTCCTTTCTATGGTGATTTGTTACATTCTCCTTGTCAGTATCTTGTTGAGGATTTTTGTATTAGTGTACATTAAAGTTATAGGTTGGATGGAAGCCAGTGTTTTCTTGGTCTATTGGAATCCAGGTAAGAGTTGTTTTACTTTAAACCTCTGTATCTGACTTATGACTTATGACTATTAGGAAAAACTTTTGGAATGGAGCTAGGGGTGTAGCTTAGAGGTTTAGTGCTTGCCTAGCATACAGAATGCCTTCGTCCCCAGCACTTGCAGGAAAACAAAAACATAGAGGAAGCTGTCACTGAGCTCAGACTTCCAGCTCCCACCAACTTGAAGGAAGAATGGTGTAATGTCTAAAACTTGTGGGAGAGCTCCCAGCCTTACCGTTGCCTGCATGCTCCCGCCAATGTGTTGGTCACACACGCTCTCTGTGTTGTGTGTCTGTGAAAGCTCCTTCCTGGCAGACCTGTCATTTGAGGCAACCTAAATCCATGCTTCTGGGCCATATCATTCAGTTGGCTCAGAATAAACCACTTCTTTAGTTCCTTTAAAGCAGTCCTTACTATGTGTCAAATGGCATAAAAGAATAATTTTTAGATGCTGTTTAATAGAATTTGTAGATTTAGAAAACTCTTTTCATTGAGTCTTTATTTTGTACAGATGAAGATGACATGACAGAGCTTCTTCAGAGCGTGATAGAGAAACCCTTGGGAGACCCGAGATCTGTAGGGCAAAAGTTAGGCTGTGACACTTGAAGGGATGGCTCAGTTTCAACATTACAAGGACATCTGCCTCATGTCGTGGGACACAGACATGCATGTCACTAAACTCAGGGCTAGTATAAAGGACATTATAAAGAACAGAGGAGATTAATGAAATTGAGATTCAAACAACAATACAAAAAAATCAATGAACTGAAGAGCTGGTTCTTTCAAAGAATAAACAAGTTAGAGAAACCCCCACCCTATCTTATTGAAACAAAGAAAAGACCAAAAATGCAAAATCACAACAATTGTTGCTGAAAATCCAGAACATAATTAGGAATTACTTTGAGAACCTGTACTCTAATAAAATGGAGAATTCAGAAGAAATGAATAGATTCCTAGATATATTAGAACTACCAAAGCTGAACCAAGAATAATTAAAACCTCTAAATAATCCAGTATAAGGAAAAGAAACTGAAGAAGTGATTAAAAAAAAAAAAAAGCTAAGAAATGCTGATGGATTCATTGATACACTTGACAAAAATTTTAAGGAAGATCTGACTTCTCAAACTCTGTATTAAATCAGAAGGGAAAAAGTACTTCCAAAGTCATTTCTGATCCAACAGCTAGCATAATCTTGGTTCCAAATCAGACAAGGACCTAACCCAAAAAGAGAGAACTAGAGTCTTCACTGTAGCGATCTTTGAATTCCTTGGATAGGTTAATTTCTAAATATTTATTTTTTCCTTATTCTAGCATGAAAGATACGGTCTTCTTAATTTCATTGTTGTTGAATTTATTATTGGTCTACAGGAATGTTATGAATATTTGTGTAACTTTGTGTACTGTTACATTGCTGAATTTGGTTATTAATTCTAGGAGTCTTTTGTTGAATTTTATGGTCTTCTATGTAGAGGATCATGTTATCTGCAAAGAATGATAATTTGACTTTCTTCTTTCCTCTATCTATCCTTTTTCTCTTGCCTGATTTTTCTGGCTGATGTTTTGAGAACTGTATTTAATAGGAGTGGTGATAGCAAACATCTTGTCTTGCTCTTTATTTTAGAATGCAAAATTTTAGTTTCCATGTAATAGGAAGTTGGCAGTAGGTTGGTCATAACTAGCTTTTATCAGATTGAGAGGTCTTTTTAATCCCTGTTCTCATCCATGGTTAAAGGAGAGGATCCTTTGAGCCAGGGCCTGCACTGCAATCTAGAGACACTTGTCTCAAAAAAAGAAACAGAAATTGGTCAACATTTTGCTAATGACTTTAGTATCTATTACTAATTACTACCTCAATCTAATATATCATTAGGTGCTGTAAAGGTGGTATTTTTTCTCAAGTTTTCTGAATTTATTAGAATTAGTAAAAAGACCCTTTTCCATCTAGTCCATTATCCATAGAACGTGTCTACAGAAAAAGCTAGAATAAAATGCTTGTCATCTTTTGTTTCTCTTCATGTATGATTTTTCAGAAAGTCATGTAGTGCCTTAGTATCCTTTTGAACGTGATTTTTGTTTTTGTTGTTTTTAAGTATTATAACTCACAGATTTTCTCTTCCGTTCTTTTTTAATGTTCACACTGACCATGGAAGCCCCTTTATACTGATGCCTTTGCCCTTTACCCATTCGGGGTAGTCTTTGATAGTTTTCTTATATTTTTTACTGAGACAAGATATGTGAAGCTCATCTTGTACATTTCCTTTTCCAGACATAGAATCATGCGCAGAATACTTTCATTGGAAAATATTGGGCCAGGGATATAGCTCAGCAGCACAATTCCTGCTTGGCAAATGTGAGGCTGTGAGTTTGATTCCCGGTACAAGTAAAAAATTTAGAGACCATAAGCTAGAAGGGATCATTTAGACACCATAATTTTACATAGGCCTTTTGATGGACAGAACTAGGAAAAATTTTTAAATGTATAATTATTTTTATTAAATATTAGTTATACAGAATAAAACTTATTCTAGCAGAATAATTAGGATGCATTCTGTTATATCAGAAGATCAGAGTTACAAATTTGAGTGCTTAAAAGGGCCAGGCAGCTAACCAAATGCAGTCAGTCCCCACTTACCCTGATGTATGATGGTTCCATTTATGATGTTTTTGACTTTCTGATGGTACAAAAGTGATGCACATTCAGTGGAAACTGTACTTCAGTTCTTTACTTTTGATCTTTTGCCCAGGCAAGCAGAATATAGTAGGGTACCTTCCTGTGCTGGGTGGCAGCAGTGAGCCACACCAGACACAGGACCCTGTGGGGTGCAGCTATCTCTCCTGTCCTGTGTTGCTGAGCCACGATTTTGGGTGGATTCTGTGTAGTTAATGCATTTCGAGCATATTTTTAACTAAAGATTGGCTCTCTGGGGTGTGGTTCCACCATGGGTCACTCTGAGTCAGGATCTTTTAAGAAATCAAAAGGGAATGCTACAGACTGAAAAATTGGAGGAGATACATCTCACCTAAGGAAGGTGTGTGTGACTTAACAGCCAGTTTTTCCAAGAGGAAATACAAGCACCATATTGTTTGACTTTTTCATTTTTAAAAGGAATATATAAATCCAAGTAATTTCATTTAGCTTTTAAATATTGATAACTAATTGAAAATTTTTTGTTATTTTTTGATACTATGCCATTCAGGTTGGCTTTGAACTCACTGTGTAGCCTCTGGTGGCCTCAAATTTGTGGCAGTTCTGCCTTAGTTTCCTGAATGCTGGGATTATAGTCATGAGCCACCATACATGGCTACTAAGTAAAACTGTTTCATTTGGGCCAGATAAATAATTTTTCCCATGGGTCATTTGTGACTTCTTGAGAAAGAGCTAAAGATTTGTTCAACCTCAGGTAACCTGAAAAATAAACTGGGAAAGAGAATAAGGAAAGGGATTTAATTGTCTTGGTTTTACTAGTCATGATGCATTTATTTGTGTGATTTCTGTTTATGAACCTTTAAAAAGTTAAAATAACTTTATTGATCATTAACTTACTTTTTGTTTCTTTTTTGCAAATTCAAATTAGGAACTGACAACCTCTCAGAAAAGTGGTGGGAATGTTCTTCAGATGATGTATGAAAAACCAGAACGATGGTCTTTTACCTTCCAGTCATACGCCTGTCTCAGTCGCATACGTGCGCAACTGGCTTCTCTCAATGGCAAGCTCAAAGATGCAGAGAAACCTGTGTTATTTTTTGAACGATCTGTGTATAGTGACAGGTATATAAGTGGCATATATTTGGCTGTCTGGAGTCTTTGGCTTAGAACTGAACATCTTTTTTCTTTTTGTGCGTCTTTCACTTTTTGTTTCTTGGGGATCACAAGTAGTTCTAAAGGAGGAGTTGGGTATTTAAGATAGGAAATGACATTTAATACTCTCGGCCTTCTGGTACAAATCGTGTTGATAAATTGTAGCGTTTATAACCTCTAGCTTCCTTGGAAATTATAAAGAATAAGGGATCATTTAATTAAATTTGCAGAGTTTTTTACCTCCTCCAATGCTTTTAAAATTCTCATCTGTTCTGGTTAAACTGAATCTATACCCTAAACTCTTACCTGGAGCAAGGAGATAAACATTTCTTAGGAGACCTTAGAATTGTGTGTATGTCAGAATTCTTTTGACCTCCAATGTAGCTCAGAATAGGGATTCTGAGATTTTTGGCTTTAAGACCCCTTTCTATTCTTAAGTTTATTGAGAGGTCCAAAGCAGTTTATGTCTGGCTGATATTTATGTCCTTAGACATTAGCATGGAAGCTCAGCATGGTGGAGGTCTGTAATCTCAGCACTTGGAAGCTTGAGGTTGTAAACCTGAGTTTGACACCAGTCTGAATTGGGGACCAGCCTAAGTACATAATTCAAGGCCATTCGGAACAACTTAGGGAGACCCTGTTTTAAAGAAAAAAAAATTCCTGTTAACATAGATAGTCTACTTTTGATAGTAAGTTGGGTTATTTTCTCAGAACAAAGGGTAATGAGACAAGTAGCATTCCTTCACATTTTTGCTTCTCTTTAATGTCTGACTTAATAAAAGACAGCTAGATTTATGTGCTCATATTTAGTCTGTAATTTTTTTTGTCTTGAAATATATTAGCACATAAAGTACTCTGGCCTTCCTGAACCTCTGGATGTGTCTCAGGACTGCAGGAGTCTGAGAACTGCTGGCTAAGAGCACTTTTCCTGTGTGTGAAGAGGCCTGGGTGTTTTCTACTGAGGGTCTGTCTGGCACGGGGTTTAGGAGAGTTTGTGTTCATTTAGTAGATCCATCCTCTCTTTTTCTCTCTCTCTGAAATGATATGTGTATTAATGAAGACACTTTTTCAGATATATTTTTGCATCTAATTTGTATGAATCTGACTGCATGAATGAGACAGAGTGGACAATATATCAAGACTGGCACGACTGGATGAATAACCAATTTGGCCAAAGTCTCGAATTGGATGGAATAATTTATCTTCGAGCTGCTCCAGAGGTAAGACCCTGTAAAAATCTGTTTGCTCCTTTGAAAATTTAAACTAATATTTAGGGGCGGGGGATTTAGCCTGCCTTGCAAGCGCATGGTCGTGAGTTCAATTTCCAGTACCGATTCAAAACAAAACAAAACAAAAACTAATATTTAAAACTCTTTAAAGTGGTCTGTACTAAAGCAGCCCTCATCTCTGTGCCACTAGACTCATAACTGTGAATATAAAAATACTCTTATTTTCTAACCCTAAGTTGCTCCTTGAGGCTTTTTGTGTGTTCTTCCTCAGTTCTGTTTTATTTTTCATTTTTATTTCTTCCTAACTTTTTCAGGCTCGCTCTGTCACAGCTAGACTAAGGAACATGTTCATCCAACTTCTGAACTATAGGCTTCACAGTGTGGGAGTTGAGTATTTTGACCACTGTTGCATTTCCAGTCCTTAGAACAGAGTTTGGGTGCACAGTGGAGCTCGGTAAACATTTACTGCATGATCAGCAAAGGAATTGCAAGCCCAGCCTGGGAAACTTAGTGATTAGTGAGACCCTGCTTGAAATAAAAAAGGGCAGTGGGGAGTAGGTTAGGGCAGAGGCCCGGCACTCCCATACCCACTGCTGAGAGAGAGACCGATAGAGACTGGCTCAGGAAGGTTCCCTGAAACGATACCTTTTACCGTGGGTGAAATATATAATGTTATATATTACATTATGCAGTGAATCTGGGAAGATTAAGTATATGCCTTTTATAAGACTTACAAGTCTTATAAGTAAGACCTTACATTTAATAGGACGCTTCTGATTTTGATACTTACATTGACATTTTTATTCCTGTTCCTTTGGTAAATTATGTGGTAGAGTCTGATGAATGTAAATGTTATAGGTTGGGGCCAATATTAGCATACTGTATTACTATTGAAACTAAACTTGAAAAGAAGCTAGTGTGATTCTGTTCCATTTCCTGTGTCAAAATAAGCCAGAATTTAGCGGTTATAATAATTTGGAAGTTCATTAAAATTCTTGAAAAGTATTGAATTTTTTCATACTGGGAATTGAACTTGGGACCTTGAGCCCTCAGAATTGTTTTTAATTATATAAATAGTGAGTACAAGTGTTACAAAAGAAAATAAAGAATACTAGTGAGTTCATTCTTTTGGAAATTTTCAGTCAATATCTTACAAAGCAAAACTTCTGGGCTGGGGATTTAGCTCAGCGGCATAAGCGCCTGCCTTGCAAGCAGGTAGTCGTGAGTTCGATCCCCCGTACCGATAAAAAGGAAAAAGACAAAAAAAAAAAAAAAAAAAAAAAAAAAAAAAAACCAAAGCAAAACTTCTGTTTTATTTCATCTGTATTTATATCTTTTGATTAAATGATTTTTGAAATGACAATTATAAATTTTTCTCCAAATATATGGGTGAATGCAACTTTAAAAATTCAGTACAGTAAAAGACACAGGTGCCATTAATCCCTCACAAAGTAATCCCGTCATCTTGCACACGCTTACCCCGTCACCACTGCCACTCTCTGAAGGTGTTCTGGAGGTCCTGTCTCGTGAGTATCTTTATGGGGTGCTAAAAATATGGTGACTGCTGCTGCTGAGTGCCTTCTCCTGGAAAGCAGCCTCCTGAAACGCTGTGGTGTGTCCTCTTACTCTCCTTACTCATGGAATCTGGTACTCGTGACTTCTGGCTCTTCCCTAAAACCAAGAAGGCCATGAATGGTAAATGTTGTGAACCATTCAAGACCTTGAGGCAGCTATGGCAGTGCAACTAAAGACATGAAAAAAGACTTCCAGAACTGCTTCAGAAAGCGCAGGGAGGATGGAATAAGTGTGTCTGAAGTGAGGGGCAGTATTTTACAGAGGATTAATGCCAAGTCTTTTGGGGTAATAAACTTTAAAAAATTAAACAATATGTTTTGATCTCATGGTATGAACTTTAAAACACAGTTTATATGCTGTGATACATAAATAACGCATGTTATTCAGACTGAAAGCTCTTTTTTCTTCCTTCATGGCTCTGGGGATTGAACCGAGGGTCCTGGGAATGCTAGCCAAATGCTTTTCTACCTGGAGATCCTTTTATCATTGAATGTATGAATGAATTTTTAAGGGTCTACAAACTCCTACAAATTGTGCATAATTTTGTATATATTTGTTACTTTCTGGAGGAAATAATCTAGAGCCATTTGTCCAATATGCCTATTATAGTTACTAAAATTGAATAAAATTTTAAAATTCAGTTCCATGATCGCCTTGCTAGCCATACCGCAATGCTTAAAAGCCACAGCAGTCTAAGGGCCAGGTGGTGTAGATCACCCCAAAGTTCTTTCTGGTCGTGGTGGTTTGGATCTTTCATCATGTTAGGAACCACAGCCTTTTAGCATTTTACATTAATGGAACACAGATACTTTACATTCAAGTTTGGTTAGCAACAAAGCAAGATTGACAAATTGACACATTGTTAGCTTTCCTCTAAAAATTTTAAGTAGATATTCAGTGGACTTTTCTTTGCCTTTCTACCAAACCTACATTAGTTAGTATATTTTATGTATGGATACTGAAGACTAAGTTATTTTGGTTTCTTTTGGAAAGGATAAAATTACTGAAAAAGCACAGGGAGGTTAAAGTCAACCATTTTAGTATTTTAGGAGGAATGAATATATTTTGGCTAGTTCAACAAAAGGAACTAGAAATTTTGATGGCCTCAGACAGCAAATAATTGTTCCGTTTTGATTTTTCCTACTCCTAGAAATGCTTGAGTAGGATACATTTACGAGGAAGAACGGAAGAGCAAGGCATCCCTCTTGAGTACTTAGAGAAGCTGCACTATAAGCATGAAAGCTGGCTCTTGCACAGAACACTGAAGTAAGCCGCGTTTTCCCCATGTCATTGGTCCTGAACCCTGTTGTTAGCTTTTAGTCTAACATTTGGAAGCTGTGAATAGCAGCATGTAACTTTTAAAATTTTTAGCCATTTATTTATGTCTCCTAGTATGGATTTTGAGTCTCAAGTCCAATAAGATCTTGGTTTTTTTCAGAGTTTTGTAACTAGTATCTCCTAGTGGTATGGAGAGCCTAACACATGGATTTACTTAAGTTGTAAGAGTGTATCTGTGTACATTATGTGTCAGTACTCCATGGAGCAATTACTGGGATACAGTTAGTCCCCTTTATCCACAATTTCATTTTCCACAATTCAGGTACCAACAATAACCTTCATCTGAAAATATGAAATGGGGGCCCAGGTATTTAGCTCAGTGGCACAAGTGCCTACCTGGCAAGTACGAGGTCGTGAATTTGATCCTCGGTACCAAAAAAAAGTGGGGGGGGGATTTCAGAAATAAACAATTTATGTTTTGAATTGTTCACCAAGCTGGGCTTATCTGTAGTCCTAACTACTTGGGAGGTAGAGGCAGGAAGATCACTTGAGCCTAGCAGTTTGAAACCAGTTAATCTGGGCAATATAGTGAAATTCCCTGTCAAAACAAAAAAACTATTTACCATTCTGATGGTAGTAGTCGTAGCGTGATGAAATCCTGTGTTGTCTTGCCCTGATCTGTCGTGCTGGTGCAGCCAGGATATAAATCAGCACCTTGTCCAGCGTGTATGTACTGCCATCTGAGAGTCACTTGTGGTGGTGTCTGTATCAGATCAGCTGTCACAGTGTCATTGTGCTTGTGGTCAGGTGTCCCTTACTTCACTTCACGATGGTCCCAACGCGTAAGAGTGAGTGATGCTGGAATTCAATCTGCCAAAGAGAAGCTACTAAGTGCCTCCTTTCTATGGAAAAGTAAACATTCTTAACCTAATTGTAAAAAATCACTTTTGGTGTAGAAGAGGTGTTAAATTTGTATTTGTATGTATACGAATGAACCAGGATATTACATATAGTGTTTACCTGTGTGTGGTTTTAGACATTTACTAGAAACATGGGAATGTTTATATTTCACATTTGTTTCTTAGGTCATGCCTGTGAGATAGTGCAGCATAGTCATTGAGTTCATTGTATAGACTGTCATTAGTCAGCTTGTAGCTCAAACGCAGTCTCCTTAGCATGTGACCGTGGGCCACTTTGGAGCCTCAGATGACTTCTCTGAGTTTTGGTTTGGTGTCTGTCCTGGATATTGCAGTATCTGAGCACGTGCATACCAGCAGCTGCTCTGCCACTGAGCTACATCCTTAGCCCTCTTCACTCTTAAATGCAATTTCCATTTTATATGATTTCTTTCTTTGAGGAGCATTGTGTTACAGGGCCTGGTTTTACACATCTATTGTGTCTTAAGATTTTTTCATTTACCTACAGTACATTTTTATTTACATATAGTCAATCCACATGAGAAGGGGCTGTCAGTTGCATTACTTGTGGCAAGTAACTTTAGTGTAAACTGGTGGTGTTTTGATTTTCCAGTGATGTAAGAAGGAGTTTTTTTTTTTAAGAGCAAAAACCAAAGAATCAAACAAAAACCAAAAACCAAAAGCAAAATAACAACAAAGAACAACAACAGCTATACAGGTTTTTCAAAACAAGATGATAGAAATTTAACAGTGGTTGTTATATTGCATATTGTTATCTTCAAAATAGTTGCTCAGGTTACCAGATACAGGAATGAAACAAAACAGTAAAACAGAACAAAACATTAGATTTCAAAAAAAAAAAAAAAAAGACAGATGGAAATCCCCCAAAGTTGCGATTATGCACATTACCATCCTCCAAATAGATTTTTAGGCCTGCAAAGTCAATCAAACAATACGAGCATCGTTACTTTTTATCTTCTTTTTTACTTCAGTTGCCATCATCTCAGCCTGACTTGTGAATCAGCCCATTGCTTACTGGGGTGGGGTAGGGGTGTTGTTCTTGTCTCCCGGCCATGTCTCCTGGCTCACTGGAAGGCATGGTTTGGCTTCTTGATTCTCTTCCCATCCCCCATGGTGGCTGCCAAGAGAGTTTTTATGTATTGTTGTTGTTGTTGTTTATGGCTTGTCTGATTTTGTTCATTTCTTTCTTAAACAGAACCAACTTTGAGTATCTACAAGAGGTGCCTATCTTAACATTGGATGTTAATGAAGACTTTAAAGACAAGCATGAAAGTCTGGTTGAAAAGGTAGAGATAGACAGATAAACTAATATTTGTTTTGTCTAAAAGTATTCTAACTTGTGAGAAAATTATCTGGCAGAAAAGCTTACAAAAGTTATAGTAAGAGGTGATTAAAAGCTATGAAGACTAGACAGTTTAGATTCTAATCTTTTCACTCCACCTTTGTGGCCTGAACTAAGATAAAGATTTTATTCTTTTGTTTTCTTTATCTGTGAGACAGAGATGATTACAAAAATACGTTCTTTCTCATATTCTTCCCTGCTTTGTTCCTCCCTTATCTAAATATTTTAATAATAAACTTTAGTAATTAACAGCTTAATAAACTAAAAATTTATTTTTACAAATAATTTTCAACATGGAATATATTTAAACTTGTAGGCTATGGTTCTTACTGTTAGCTGAGGTCTTGAGAATAAATATTTTAGTTTTGAGTTGTGTTTGGGACAGTGTCAAAGATAAATGAAATTGGTTAGGCATTGAGTCATTATCTTAATCAAAATTAAATTACTTCTCAAATAGTGGGGAGTAGATCATTCTGGGTGATGCCATATTGATAAAGGCATAGGTAGAGAATCTTGATGAACATTTGAGACAGTGGTAAAGAGAACTATGTAACGGATATCTTTGTACCTATGTTAATTAACTAAGGTCTCAACAAGAGCCTTAAGTTTTTGTTGAGTTTTGAGAGAATCTTGATTTTTTTCTTTGTCCTTTTACAAAATGTCTGCTATTTATGATAGTAAGGTGTTGCCATCCATTTGTAAGGAATATATTTGAATATTTTCAAAATCTCAGCATTTTATATCACTATAAAACTATGTGGTTGTTTTCTCCATTGTGTACAGCATATCTAGAAAATTGACATGTCAAATGACTTTTTTTTATGAATGCCCTTAAAATATAGAATAGAATTCACTGATAAACTTATTAAAATAAATAAAGTTGTCATTGTACTAACAGACAACTGTCAGTTGCACAAGGCAGTAACCTTTGTCTTTTCAGGGTAATTGCTTTGTAAGAGTCTTGCTTTGTGTGTTGGTCATTTGGCTAGGTTCAGTCACAACTTACGTGACTAGCTTTCCCCCACACACCTTCCTTGTAGAGATTATGATTGAAATTTGTGGCTTAGGAACATTGTGAATCTTCAGGTCTAGTCTGCAAAGTTGTTTAAACTCTAGTAGTTATTGTCGGTTTTAAAGCTGCATGTACTACTGATGTATGATATTTGAATAGATTGTAAAACGAGAGGTATGGCTGTTTTATTTTAATTAGAAATGTGTTGGTATATTTTAGATATACATAGCAGTCACACTCATCAAAGAGAGTTTGTACCTGTACATGATATAACTTGATCCCCCCTACCCCCCCGCCACTTCCCAACTCTCCCTTCTCTTTAAGCCCTCTTGAGTTACAGCTGTTTTAGGACTGTATCAGTCTTAGATATAAATTAAATAGCTCTTGTCATGAATTGATAAGTCATTCCTTTTACTGCTGAAGTATTTGGTAATATTCCTGTGGAAAATATGATAAATGCTATGGTGTTGTCATAGTTATACAGTTGGGGTCTTCAAGTGAAGACGCACGCTGCCAAGTGAAGATGAATATTAGTACCCCAAATTTGTCAAGGCTATATGTTAATATTTTTTTTCCTTTCTTTAGGTCAAAGAATTTTTGAGTACTTTGTGATCTTGCAGAAGACTACAGGCAACAGATATTTCCAGAAGCTTCTGCTTTGTGTGTCTTTATAGCTCAGTATTCGTACCAGGGTCTTGAGAAAGCTCAAGTTTTCAACCATTTGTGTTCCAGGAAAAAGAACATATTTTTGTGAATCCTATGTAAAACTTTGTGACTTATTTCTCTTTTGTTTCCTCTCTTTCTCCTTTCACTTAAAAAGTCAGACGATTATCTCTCACAATGGGAAATCTGGAGGTAGATGGTTCCAGAATCAGAACAGTGACTCGGTGACATTATAAAAGACCCAGCTTCCTGTCTTTCCCCTTTATTATTTTCTCACAGTGCTTTTCACCTCACTGGAGACCAGTTTCTTAACGGGAAACTAAATTATTATACTTGTTAATAGTTGAAAAACAGAATTTAAGGAATTCTAGAATAAGGATTCAGAATTTTTTTCTTTTTCTTTTTAAAGGTGCTAGGAATCAAACTTAGGGCCTCATGCATGGTATGTAAGCATGCTACCACTTTGTTAGACCGCTGGGCCCTGTGGATTCAAGTGTTTTTTATCAAGTACCTCCCATTCCACTAATTTATGAAGAAGCTAAGACCAGGTTTAGTATTTAATGACTTCATTGATATTGATGTATCTGTAACGTACTTGTGGAGGAACCAGTTAGGCTTTGTTCCCAGTACGGTAACAGCATAACCTATTTTATAAATCATTTAATCTCTACTTTGTTTTTTTCAATATGCAATATGGGTGATGTCATTCCTTCTTCCACATGAGATTTTTGGAGGATTAAGGAAAAAATTTTTCTGTACTTAAAAGGTAGTTGAAAAGTTGTTACATGAATATATTTAATCTACATGAAACTTGAAATAGCTACCTGGTTTTTCCTTCTCAGACTATTGTTTTGGAAGGGAGTATTTTTACTATAGTTAAAAGGTTATTTTTAAACTGTGATTGCTCTTATTGCTTGAGGAGGATGTATAGTTACCCCTAAAATTCCTTCCTTTTTTTATAGGCTATGCTAGTGGAATATGAGTGATGTTTTTCCGTGTTACTTCTTAGTCCTGTACTCAGAACGAACCGTCTGTCTCTATTCTTGGTGAGAAGTCAGAGGAGAACCTGAAGCCAAGTTGGGTGTCTCTTGGCAGTGCAGTCTGTGTGCTCCCACCTTATGCCCTGCTCATTCTGCTTTCTCTGTGGTCTAGGTCGATTGGGCAGCCCACTATTTAAAATAAAAAGACACCTTTCTACTTTGAGAACTCTTTGTTTGATAGTTTGCTTTATGTTGTAGGATTTTGCCTTTTTTTCTTCATTCAAAGAAATGACTGATAAAAATGACCCTCCTTCATATGTTTCACAAAGCATTATTGTTTGTGGACTAGGATAAAATTTCAAAAGCTCCCATTAATGCAGTGTACTCATCACTAAACTACTTGTGTGAATAGTTGTAAAATTTGCATAGATTGATCCTCGGTCTTGAGTACCTAAATAAAGGTCTTTTTTCTTGATTTTTTAAAAGCTGAGGTGTGTGATAGTTTTTTAACGTAACATTAGTGTTCTACATTTTAGAAAATATTTATATAGTTTTTGAAATAAGAGAATCACTTCTGTGTTGAAACTGTAGCTTTCCTTTTTTTAAAAAATTTTTATAACTTTCTTTCCTTTAAAATACTGTCTTTGTTTTTGGTTTCTTAGTCACATCTGGTAGCTCAGGGGGCAAACCAGTCTAAATGCACTGAGCTTTGAAGGGGACTTAATTGCAGATCTGTAATAATCATAAATATTTAAATTGTCTTAATATCAGCTTTCTGTGTTTTGTTTGAATGAATTTGTCTACAATTCAATATTTGTCAACAAATAAATTTCCATTTCATGAACTATGATATTGAGATTAAACTCTGAAATGTTTTTTAGACTAAAAATTTGTTCTATTTTTTTGGAAAAAGTTAATAAAGACGAAAATGGACTACATAAATTACAGTGATCCTACTATGGAAACTTTTTTTTTCCAAATCCATTTTATTTCAAAGATTAGAAAAAAAAGAAACTACAACAAAATTTCAAAACACATCAATTGGGGCAATAATGGTACATACATTGCGCATTGCCCTCCCCAAATCATTCATCTAGAGCACAAAACGTCTGCATTCAGTTGTTTAAACAATACCAACACAAACCTTTCTCTTCAGAGAAATCAGTAATATAACTATCTTAACTATTATTTTTATATACACGTGCATATATATACACATATCCATGGTTTTTAGCTTCTCACACATAAACTATGATGTTTACACGTGTGTCTTATTTCACTAATGAGTCTGTTCTCAGGCATCCATTTACCTATAAAAGTCTCCCGTTTATCCTTTATGGCTGAGTACTCAACATTGTATGAAAATATCACATCTTTTTTAGCCATTCCTCAGTCAGTGGGCATTTAAATTGTTTCCAAGATCTGGCTATAGCAAACTATGCTGCTATAAACATGGGTGCACATACATCACTGTGGTATGATGTTTTTGGTTCTTTTGGGAAGATACCCAGAAGGGGAATAGCTGGACTGAATGGTATCTCCAATGCTGGTTTTAAAAGGAATCTCCACACTGATTTCCACAGTGGTTGCATCAGTCTGCATTTCCACCAACAGTGGAGAAGTGTTCCTTTTTCCCCACAGTCTCTCCAGCATTTGTTATTGCTTGATTTATTGATAGTGGCCATTCTTTCTGGGGTGAGAATTTCAGTGTTGTTTTCTCGAATGACCAATGATGTCATTTGTCACATTTATTTGCTGTTCATATTTCTTTATCTGAGAAGTGTATATTCATCTCAGATGCCCATTTTTTTGGATTGGGTCTCTAAATTTGGGAGGACCAGTTTTTTATATAGTCTCGATAGGAATCCTTTGAGGAACAGATGGCAAACATTTTCTCCCACCTTGTTTGTCTCTACTCTGGTTTTTCTTGCTGTGCAAAAGCTCTTTAGTAAGGTGAGAACCCAGTTTGTTGATTCTTGCAATAGTTACTGCAATCCAGGTTTTGTTCACAAACTGCCTACTCCGATGTCTTCAAAAATTTCCTAGTCTATCTTCAGCGGATTTAATGTTTCTGTTTTAATATTAAGATCTTTCATCCACTCTGATTTTAGCTTAGTACAGGTGAAAGATAAGGATCTAGTTTTAATCTTAGGTGTGTGTAGAGCCAGTTTTTCCAGCACCAGAAGAGGCTACCTTCAAGTAAATGTGTTTGGCACCTTTGTCAGAGATAAGGTGGCTTCGTGTGTCTGCAGTTGTTTCTATTCCATTGATCTGCAAGTCCATTTTTTTTTTTTTTTTTTTTGCCAGTGCTACACTTTTTAGCACAGTAGCTTTATAGTATAATTTCAAGTCAGGAAATGTGATACCTCCCATCTTGTCTTTGTTGCCCAGGATGGCCTTTGCTATTCTAGGTCTCTTCTGGCTCCAGATGAATTTTAGGATTGTTTTCTCTAGATTTGTGAGATATGCTATTGGAATTTTGGAATTGCACTGAATCTGTATAACAGCTTTGGAAGTATGGCCATTTTCACTATAGTGGTTCTTCCTACCCAAGAGCACAGGATAGCTGTTCATTTTCTAATAGCCTCTTCAATCTGTTTTTAAAGTACTGTAGTTTTTATTTTTTTAAAAATTTTATTTAAAAGGAAAAAGAGAAGAACACAAAACAAAGCGGTGTAAGGGTACAAGTAATACAGAACTACAAAAAAAAAAAAAAAAAAAAAAAAACCCAGAAATCACCAGTTAATAGATTACATATTATCAGCTTAGAAATAGTTGCTCAAATCACAGTATCAAAGAATACAAAGTGGACATTCAAACAGTGAGACTGCAAACAGTTGTGTTCAGTGATCCAACCAAAAACATTAATATGGTCAGCTATTTAACACCCCTAAACACACTTGCTGTTGTTTCCTTTAGAGCTCTTTTGTTACAACAAAATTTACATATTTTGGGTTTTATTACTCCTTAGTTCTTATTTTTTTGCGGGGGGGAGAATAAAGTCAAATATGGCAAAACAAAGCTGTCAGTCAAAACCAAGGATAGACATAGCACATGATGTAAAACAGTGTACAAGGTTATCAACAATGGTTATCAACGCTGTCTCTTGTTTCCTTAAAAAGAATTGTCTATCTCATTGGATATTATAAAGTTGAACAAAACAGTAGAGAACAAGACCAATAAAACTTAAGCATTGTAAACATTACAGGACTTCAAAAGGAGACAATAGTCAAACCAGAATGGGCATCTTAGTGAATCGTATTGCCTTCAAAGTAGTTGCCTATACCCTCAAACTTGATACTATCATACAGAATGGAACAGAGTCTAATCAGTCAAAACAAGATAGTGGGAGTATTACAGGACTTCAAAACAAGTTAATAGGAAATCAAAAAAGTTACTATTATATACCCTGCTAATTTTAAAAATTTTTCCCCTTAATTAAAAAAAACAAAAAATAACTAAATAATTTTTTAATCAATAAGGGAGAGATTGAGATAAAATAGGACATAACAATATAACAATACAGATCAAAGCATGACTGTTTCAGCAACCTAGTGGTTCACCACCAAATAACCCGACTTAATAGTAGCTACCATAGTGTCTGTCTTTTTCCTTGAAATATTTGAATAAAACTTCATATACTATAGCTTCAAGTATTTCCATATCAAGAAGCCCAGAATAAAGCCTTTCCAATTAATAAGTGAAAACTTTATAAGGCTTCAAGGCCACATAATGGGGAATCATGATTACCACATATTTTTATATATTTGAATCATTACTTACATTAGGGAAACTATTTGGTATTCATACATGCGAGATTGATTTATTTCACTTATGAGTATGGTCTCAAGCTGCGCCCATTTATTGATAAATGTCTCAATGTGATCCTTCTTTATAGCTGAATAATACTCTATTGTATAGAAATACCACAACTTTTTTATCCATTCCTCAGTTGATGGACACTTGGGTTGTTTCCAAGATCTGGCGATTACAAATTGTGCTGCTATAAACATAGGTGCACATATATCACTGTGGTATATACTTTCAGTTCTGGGAATATGCCTAGAAGTGGAATAGCTGGAATAAATGGGACTTCCAATCCCAGCTTTTTGAGAAATCTCCAGACTGACCTCCACAAAGGCTGCACCAATCTACACTCCCACCAAGTGTAGGAGAGTTCCTTTTTCCCCACAGCCTCTCTAGCATTTGTTGTTGTTGGTTTTCTTGATCCTGGCCATTATTTCAGAAGTGAGATGGTATCTCAGTGTGGCTTTAATTTGCATTTCTCTAATGACCAGTGATGATGAACATTTTTTCATGTATTTATTTGCCATTTGCATTTCTTCATCTGAGAATTGCGTATTCATCTCAGATGCCCATTTTTGGATTGGATCTTTGAATTTTGGAGATCTGAGTTTTTTTAATTCTTTATATGTTTTAGACAAGAGTCCCTTGTCTGAGAGAGAGTTCACTAAAATCTTTTCCTAGTTTGTGGGTTTTCTTTTCACTATGCTGGAGATTTCTTTTGACATGCAGAAACTTTTTAATAAGAAGTGGTCCCAGTTATTGATTCTGGGAAGTATTTCCTGTGCGGTTTGAGTCCTGTTCATGAATTCTCTACTTACTCCTATGTCTTCAAGGTTTCTACCCAATTTGTCTTCCAATAGATTTAGTGTTTCTGTTTTAATATTCACATCTTTGACCCATTTAGATTTTAAGTACTGTAGTTTTTCAGTGTAGGGGTCTTTTAACCTCCTTTGTTAGATTGATTCCTAGGTATTGTTTTTTTCTTTTTTGGGTGCTATCATAAAAGATATTGTTTCCCTGATATCTCTCAGTGAGTTTATTATTCATGTGCAGAAAGGCTGTTTTTTAAAAATTTTATTTAAAGGAGAAAAAACAAAACAGTATAAAGGTACAAGTAATACAGAATTTAAAAACCCAGAAATCACTAGTTAATAGATTACATATTGTCATCTTAGAAATAGTTGTTCAAGTTACAGGGTTAAAGCATACAAAGTGGACATTCAAACAGTGAGCCTGCAAACAGTTGTGTTCAATGATCCAACAAAAACTTAGTAATATGGTCATCTATCTTAACATACCTAAACACACTTGCAGTTGTATCCTTTAGAGCACTTTTTTCCCCCTATCTTTTTTACAACAAACATTTACACATTTTGGGTTTTATTACTTCTATAGTTCTTATTACTTTTTTTTTTGGAAGAGAATAAAACCAAATATGGCAAAACAAAGCAGTCAGTCAAAACAAAGGATGGACAAAGTACATGATGTAAAAACAGAATACAAAGTAATGGACAATGGTTACCATAATGCTTCTTGCTGCCTTAAAAAGAATTGCCTATATCATTAGGTATAATAAAATTGGACAAAACAGTGCAGAACAAGACCAATAAAACCTGAACATTGGAGACATTACAGGACTGCAAAAGAAGATAATAGTCAAACCAGCATGGGCGTCATAGTCAATCTTAGGGGGAAGGCTGTTGATTTTTGAGTGTTTACTTTGTAACCAGCTACACTACTGAATTTGCCTATTAAATCTAGTAGTCTCAGAGTTTTTTGGGTCCTCTAAGAGTATCATGTCATTTGCAAATAATGATTGTTTAACTTTTTCCTTTATTCTTTTCATTTCTTTTTCTTTTCTAATTGCTGCAGCTAAAGTTTTGAGGACTATGTTGAATAAGAGTGGAGATAGTGAATATCCTTGTCTTGTTCCTGATTTTTGAGACAAAGTTTTCAGTTTTTGTCTATTTAGTATGATGCTGGCTGTTGATTTATCATTGTTCAAAAGTTTGATTTAGTTCTAATATTTCATTATTGATTTTTTGTCCAGTTGATCTGTCTTTTTGTGATGGGGATATTGAGGTCTCTTCATGTTGTTAGTAATTGTTTTACATAGTTGGGTGCACTTGTATTTA